TTTGCTTTTGGATCATTTATTTTACAGAATGTACAATGTCACTCTAAATGCAGATTACAACCTATTACAATTGGATATGTATGATCTAAAACTTTGTTTCTCAATATATGTAATTTAAGAGGTAATTGGTTGTACAATTATCTTATTGTCAAATTCAATGATCAGCCCAACGGAAGATTATTTGTTTTGACTATCTTAAATAATTGTATGAGTTTTTCTTTTAACAAGCCCAAAGGTGTGTTATTTGATAACTTGTATAATGAAATTTTAGCGTAATCAAATGTGTTATATTTCTGCCCAAAGGTGATATGTGACACAATTTGCAACCTAATTTTAATTTTAATATCATAATGTTTGATAATTAGCATTAGCCAACGCAATGTTAGTTATTAAACACGATATGAATTTTTCCTATTATTTGGTGTTAATAATAGGCTTATTTACTAATAATTGACATGTCTTATTGTATTCCCTTGTATATTATAAATAGCTTCTATGAATACCTCTGTTAAAACTTTTATTTCAGCATCTACTGTAACCCCATACAATTATGGGATAGAACCTCTAAATGGCACAAACTTTTCAACATGGAGAGAATCTGTAAAACTCTCACTTGGCATGATGGACCTTGACCAAGCACTGAGAATTGATCCACCGGATGCTCCTAACGCTGAGAGCACTGTGGAACAGAAACGTTCTTATGAACAGTGGGAGAGGTCCAACCGAATGTGCCTCATGATAATCAAGAATTCCATATCTGTAGCTATTCGCGGAGCCATTCCAGACTCTGAGAATGCGAAAACCTACCTAGAATATGTGGAAGAACAGTTTAAGGGCACTTCTAAAGCACATGCTAGTACCTTAATTCTCAAAATGTTGACAAGTAAGTATGATGGAGTGAGTGGTATTCGTGAGCACATCATGAAAATGTCTGATATGTCCAATAAGCTCAAAAGTATGGACATGGAGATCAGTGAAGGTTTCCTCGTTCATTTCATAATGACTTCTCTACCTGCATCTTATGGTCCGTTCAAGAAGAAGAGCGCCTAAAAGTTGAAAAACAGATGTTGCTCATCTCACCACCACAAACTCAAAGAAAATGAAAGGCGATCGTCAAGGAGGAAAAGGTAACATTTCTAAGATCCCAAAGATAGGTGCAAGCGTGAGCTCCGGTCCTTACTGTAAGTTTTGTCGCTTCAAAGGGCATTACCAGAGGGAGTGCCCTAAGTTTAAGGCATGACTGACTAAGAAAGGTAATTTAACCACCTATGTAATTTATGAATCATTAAACACATCAGTTCCCCTAAATACTTGGTGGATTGACTCTGGTTCAATGGTTCATGTTTCAAACACACCGCAGGGATTCCATTCAATCCGGACATTGGGAAGAAAGCAAAGAGTGATTAAGGCGGGCAACAGAGAAGAATTAGAAGTGGAGGCCATTGGAACTATCTCATTAATTTTAGAGAGTGGCTTCATTCTTCATCTTCGTGATGCTCTTTATGTACCTAATATTACTCGTAATTTAGTGTCTGTATCGAAACTAAGTGCTGATGGTTTTACATTTAATTTCGTGTACAATAAAGTGACAATAAGCTTGAACTCAAATGTAATAGGATTTGGTAGCATGGAGGGAAATCTCTATAAATTATGCTTAGATACTAATTTTATGGAATCCCCTTTGTCATTTAATATAACTGAAAATCCTTGTAAGAGAAAGAGAGAATTGGAATCGTCGTCTAATTTGTGGCATCAAAGGTTGGGCCACATATCACGAGATCGAATGATAAGACTCGTGAAAGACGGAATTCTTCCAAATCTTGACTTCTCAGATTATGACAAGTGTGTGAAGTGTTTGAAAGGGAAATTGTCTAAGAAAATTAAGAAAGGCGCCACACGAAGCACTGGTTTGTTAGAATTAATACACACCAATATTTGTGGGCCTTTTCCCGATTCCATAAGTGGTCATAAGTCCTTTATTACTTTCATAGACGATTATTCACGCTATATGTACCTATATTTGATTAAGGAAAAATCCGAATCACTAGATATGTTCAAGGCTTATAAAGCTGAAGTTGAAAATCAACTTGATCGAAAAATCAAAGTAGTGAGATCGGATAGGGGTGGAGAGTTCTATGGTCGACACACTGATATTGGTCAAGCTCCTGGATCTTTCCATGAATTTTGTAAAGATCACGGGATCATCAACCAATATACCATGCCCGGCACCCCTCAACAAAATGGGGTTGCTGAAAGGCGGAACAGGACTCTTATGGATATTGTCCGAAGTATGTTGGCTAACTCTAATCTTCCCCAATTCTTATGGACCGAGGCCTTAAAAACAGCAACCCACATACTGAATAGAGTACCATCTAAATCTGTCCCTAAGACTCCATATGAGCTTTGGACGGGCAGGAAACCTAGTCTACGGTACCTAAAAGTGTGGGGTTGTCCGGTTGAAGCAAAAGTGTATAATCCTTAATTGAAGAAACTTGACATGAGAACCATCAGTTGTTCCTTTATTGGCTATCCCGAGAGATCTAAGGGATATAGGTTCTATTGCCCATCTCATACCACCCGAATTGTTGAGACTCGACATGCTGAATTCCTTGAGAATACTAACATTAGTGGGAGTAGTAGTGGTTCAAACTTTTGTGATGAACTTCAAGAGGGCAATGGAATAAATCAACTTATAATACTGCCCATTCCAGCTAACTCCTCACTTGAAGATCATAGTGAAAGTCATACACCTCATAATAATGATGCAACAAGTTAAGAGGCGAATGAAACTCCAATCAATGTTGAACCAACTCCACCAATTACTAATGAAATTCCGGAAAATCAGCAACCCTTAAGGAGATCTCAAAGGGTCAGACGCCCCACAAATTTTGACGAATATTTGATATATTTGAATGAAGAAGCCGACTTTGATTTAGGGAAAGTTGTAGATCCTATATCTTTCCTTGATGCCATTAATTGTGACCAATCGACTCATTGGAAAGAAGCCATAAATGAGGAACTTCTTTCCATGGAGAAGAACGATGTTTGGGAACTTGCTAAATTACCAAAGGGTCAAAAGCCCGTTGGAAGCAAGTGGGTCTTTAAGACTAAATTAGATCCAAAGGGAGACATTGAAAGATACAAAGCAAGATTGGTTGCCAAGGGGTACACTCAAAGGAAAGGTGTAGATTATCAAGAGACCTTTTCACCCGTCTCTCGAAAGGACTCCCTAAGGGTCGTTATGGCTTTAGTAGCTCATTTTGATCTTGAGCTACATCAAATGGATGTCAAAACAGCCTTCTTAAATGGAGATTTACACGAAGATGTTTATATGATACAACCAGAAGGTTATGTTTCTAAGGGTCAAGAACATCTAGTGTGTAAACTCAAGAAGTCTATTTATGGGCTCAAGCAAGCATCTCGACAATGGTACCTTAAATTTGATGAAGTCATGAAATCAAATGGCTTCATTAAAAACAAAGTAGATCAATGCACTTACCTCAAAATGAGTGGGAGCAAATTCATCATACTTGTGTTATATGTTGATGACATCTTATTAGCTAGTAGTGACTTGGATTTGTTGCATGAAACAAAACGCTTATTATTTGGCCATTTTGACATGAAAGATCTTGGTGAAGCTTCTTATGTTATAGGCATTGAAATTCATCGAGACAGAGTCAAAGGGACGTTAGGCCTGTCCCAGAAGGCATACATTGAGCGCATTTTAGAACGTTTCAACATGCAACAATGCTCTCCATCAGTTGCTCCAGTAGTTAAGGGAGACGTTTTTGGGTCATTCCAATGCCCAAAAACCGAGGTTGAGAAAGAGCAAATGAAACTCATTCCTTATGCTTCCGTAGTTGGAAGCTTGATGTATGCACAAGTTTGTACTCGTCCAGATATCGCATATGTATCTGGTATGTTGGGTAGATATCAATCTAACCCAGGATTAGAGCATTGGAAAGCCGCTAAGAAAGTTTTGCGGTATCTTCAAGGGACTAAGGAGTACAAATTGACTTATGAGAGGTCTAATAATTTAGAAGTGGTTGGATATTCCGATTCCGATTTTGCTAAGTGCAAAGACGATAGGAAGTCTACTTCGGGATACATTTTCTTGCTGTCAGGTGGGCCAATATCTTGGAAAAGCCACAAGCAAAGACTTACAACTACTTCAACAATGATGGCTGAATATGTTGCGGTGTACAACGCAACATGTCATGGGATGTTGTTAAGGAATCTTATCAAAGGATTCAAAGTAGTGAATTCCGTCTCAAGACCACTAAGGATTTATTGTGACAATTCCGCGGCCGTGAGCTTCTCAAACAATAACAGTTCGAGTGGAGCGGGATTGTTCCTCGATACAAAATATTTGTTCGTTCGAGAAAGAGTGGAAGAAAACGAAATTTGTATCGTACACATCAGCACAAATGATATGCTAGCAGATCCTCTCACCAAAGGACTTCCGCCCAGTATTTTTCAAAGACATGTCACTAATATGGGCTTGATCAAAGATCCTGTTTAGGAATTAATAGCATAGTGTCTGATTAGTTATCTTATTTAATATTTTCAAGTACTTGATTTAGAATCCCTCCTTAAGTATGTTTTGTCTATTCTTTATTGTGCACACAAAGTTATTTAATAGACAAACATAATACCCTAAGTTTAATGTCATTTGGCTTATATTAATCCTTATACTCTTTAAGAAGTGTCAAAGTATGATTAATGGGGGTCCCGGGTTATATTGACCCGTTAGACTGTATTTATTTGCTTTGATATTATTTTGGAGTAAGATGAATTTTTTCTTGGCCAACACTTACTTTAACTTATGTATAAATGTTCTCAAGGTCGAGTGGGAGAATGTTGGAAAATATTCCATTTAAGTGCCCTTGGACCATTTATATAATTTAATATATTTTGGGGACATTTATGTCTTACCATTAAGTTTGTCATGTGACAGATTTGGTCCCTGATTTATGTATTGTTAACATATGATGGGTATGTTTTAACATTAAATAATACAGAAGGGATCAAATGAGTTTTCTCTTTGATACAAACATAAGTACTCGTTCGGTTCTCACTCTTACGATAAAAGGAAAAGACACGCTTCTTACCAAGGGTCTCGAACACCATTATAAAAGAGACTCATATGAGAACCGATCAATCCATCACAGTAGGGGTTTGTATCCTTAGAGAATCTACACATCAATGGCTTCATCGTCTTCTACAACACCATCAACATTCGGTTTCTCCTCAACCGGTTAGTGTTCTTATTGTTTGATTCTATGAATTTTATCATGTTTGTGAGATTAGATTCTTATATGGGACTCAATTTCTAATAGGAGGGTCTAGAGGAGCCTCTATTCTGGGCCAATGCCTTTCACGAGCAACTGGAGGGATAGAACCATTATAGATTTTCATGTAAGTGTCCTTCTTGTAATAATCATGCACATAATCTTCTGGTGCTTGATGGAGAAAGAAAATACAAGCCACAACATGGCAGCAGGGCACACCAGTCAACTCCCACTTCCTATAAGTGCATGTGTGTGAGGTAAGATCAACCATGACACTGTCCATCCTATGGTTGACCTGAAAAACCATCATACTGGATGGCATAGCTGCACAATTAGCTGCTTCCTCCTTTTCTTTTTCTAACTTTGCTTGGATCCTAGGACAGATCATTTGATGGCTCAGTTCCATTTGTTGTCTTTTAGACACAATCCTTTGCATGAGGGCACTCCTAATATCCTCCATCATGAAAATTAAATGCTTGGTTCTAGCATTTATTATGTATCCATTGAAGGTCTCATCCATGTTGTTTACAATTACCTCGCATTTTGTCTTTGTTTGAATAAAAGCTCTACAAAACTTGGATTTGTCATACATTTTTAAAGCTGCAGTGGCAGTTGGGCTAATTTTCTCCATCTCTTGAACTGCATCTTCATAGTCAGCCTGATTATATGCCCTCACCACTTTCCAGAAAGCCATTTTTAACTCATCTCCTTTGTGGTTCTTGTGCCAATTAGCATAGATATGCCTTGCACAATGACGATGTTCTGCACGAGGTAATACTTTCTGTACTGCACTAAGAATTGCCTACACACAAATACATTAATATGTGCAGTCAGAACCACTTAAAATAATGCTAAAATGACAATACTTAATGCTAAAATGCTAAAATGACAGTAATCTTAGACTACTGTAATGCTAAAATGTAATAAGCTTACACTACATGCATATAAAACACATACATGTTATAATGCTAAAGTATTAAGTAATTATAGTTTACATCATACCCGATGTTCATCTGAAATGATAGTCAGTTCATCATCATTAATTTGACCTAAAGCCATATGCAACTGGATGAAAAACCATTCCCAGCTTTCATTGTTTTTCCCCTCCACCACAGCCCATGCTAGGGGATACATCTACTCATTAGCATCTCTTCCAATAGCAGAAAGCAACATACCACCCAGAAATGTCTTTAAAAAACACCCATCCACACATAGTACTTTTCTACAGCCTTCAAGCCATCCTTGTTTGACCCCATCAAAGCAAACAAATAGCCTTTGAAATACAGGTGGAAATACCCTAGCTTCTGGAACCACTTCATGTTTGAATGTACTGTTAGGACTTGCAAGTGACAGAGCCTGTAGATACCTCCCCAATTTATTATAATGATCCTTCATGCTTCCATGCGATTTTCTGTGAGCAATATACTTGACCTTGTAAGCATAGTTCTTCTTAATAACAACCTTGTAAGCCCTCCTAACAGTTTCTATAATTTCCTTAGCTGGCCAGTGTGGTCTGGTTTTAAAAACCTCAAGAAACTGACTAGCAACCCAAGATGTTTTCAGTTGTTTAATATGTTCTATGTTTCTATGACATCTGTGAGCTCCCACCAAAGATTTGACCACAAAGATTATTAGTGTGAATTTTTCCAAAATATAATTAAATTGTTTGATAAAAAAACTGATTTTTTGCGAATGGACCGAATGTAGATACAATTCTGCTTTCTTTTTTCTTTCTTTCCTTCTTAAACACTCATCACTGCTATACACCCACCCTCCCTCCCTCCCTCCGTCGATCATCAGGTGGGTATTTCTTTTCAAAAATGATGTTTGTACACACTCTTATACACACTTTTGTACACACTTATGTCTGTGAAAGTTTGTTTTTTGTTTGTGAACATCGATTCACAGACAATATTTTGCACAAACAAAATATTATCTGTGAACTGGATTCACAGACAAAAAAAGCTTCACAAACATGATATGTATAAAGTGTGTACAAAGTTTGATTTCTTTTTTGTTACAATGATTGAATGAATGAAATTTTCTACGGTCGTCCCCGCCGACCCCGTAATTTTCACATCTTTTTTCAGTCCCTAAACCTTTTGTCTTTTGCACACCTCCCACTCTACGGTCGTGCTGAAGCGATCCTTGTCTCAGCGATTATACTTCACTGTAAAAATATTGCCCACAGGTTTCAAAGAACAGAACACAGTCCAGGCCCTGTATTGCATACTGCTTGAGCCGGAGGAGATGACATCGTCGTTGGTAGCAGCTAGGTCAGCCGTTGGCAAGGATCCGAAGATTCGCATCCCAAGCTTTACCGGCACCAGGAATAAGCCTGATTCGCTCCTCCGCATTCAGCGTCTTAGCCTCTTTCGCTCTCTTTCCTCTTCCACTCCTAATGTTTCCATCATTAGAGCCGTTTCCATGGTAAATGTTTCTTCTACATCCACCGCCGTTTTGTTTTTCTTCTATCCCAGTGTACATTTTGTTTTAAGCGAAAATGTCCCTCTTTCTGCTTCAATTCAATGTGTTACAAATAATGAATTTTCTGCAGCGAGGCACAGTAGGTGTGGCATGCCTACTGCTTCCCTATTATATGTTTGACTTGGATTCTCCTTCACTACCCTTTTGCGCTTTACTATGCCATGCCCTTTCCTTTACCATTGCACTGGCATTAAGCAATTCATGTGGAATGCAAGTAGTGGCTTCTCATTGAGGTTGAACACAATCCAGTCACTAATAGGGGAATTAACCAAACTTAAATACCTAGACAAGTACTGCCTTTCGGGTGCAGAAAAAATGCATCATTTTTTCACCAAAGCAATTGTGGTTTTCTTATTTCAAAAAAGTTGCATTTTCAGCAGTTGTTTCCAGAGTAAGGACTTCCGAGTCATCATAATTATAACTTTTCTCAGAATTTTACTGTTTCTGAAAGTACCATTTCTCTACGTGGCATTTTGACGCGAAGGTAAAAGAAAAATGATAGTTGAACAACATCTTTTTTTATTTATTTAACAGAAGAATGGAATTAAGGAAGGATGTTTTTATCATAAGAAGAATTTGTTAATGTCTGCATTTTTTAACCAAAGTATTTGTGATTTGATTCCTTAACTGTTGAAAGGCTGTTTTGGTGGTGGGATGCATTTAGTTTCAATTGTTTGGCCATCTCAGGGGAACACTTCCTAAAAAAACATCCTGGTGAGCAACAAGATGATGACAATCAATAAATTAACATCCTGATCCATTAATTTAAGCTGACAAATTGACAAAATGACACATACCATAGGAAGTAGTAAAACTAGTGTATCTTTATTAGCATCTTCCGTTTAATAAGAGCAAGAGTGGAAAAGAAAATTTAATGTTAAAGTGCCATAAAATAAGGACCACCAGTACCTTCAAAATTGTGACTTAGCATGTATATATATGTGTGTGTGTGTGTGTATGTATGTATCCATTTCTTGTTCTATAAAGCTGATGAAAATGTAAAGATTTTGTAGATTTGTTGCAGATTTGTTTTACCACGTATATAAATTGGAAACTTCGGAAACTAAATTTTCATTCGATGCAGCCTGCAAGGTCAGACACTGCTGCCGAGCCCAAACGTAGCAAGGTTGAAATATTCAAAGAACAAAGCAATTTCATACGGTATCCTCTCAATGAGGAAATCCTTACAGACACACCTAACATAAATGAGGCAGCCACACAGTTGATCAAGTTCCATGGTAGCTATCAACAGTATGATAGAGATGAGCGTGGGAAAAGGTCATATTCCTTCATGCTCCGAACAAAAAACCCTGGTGGAAAGGTTCCAAACAAACTCTATTTGGTTATGGACGATCTCGCTGACCAATTCGGTATTGGAACTCTCCGGTTAACAACGAGACAAACGTTTCAACTCCATGGTGTCTTGAAGAAAGACCTTAAAACTGTGATGGGGACTATCATTAGAAACATGGGGTCCACTCTTGGTGCGTGTGGTGATCTGAACAGAAATGTGCTTGCTCCAGCATCCCCGCTTGCAAGCAAAAGCTATTTATTTGCCCAACAAACTGCCGATAACATTGCATCATTATTAACTCCTCAATCTGGGTTTTATTATGATGTTTGGTTGGATGGAGAGAGATTCATGTCAGCAGAATCTCCTGAAGTGGTCAAAGCTCGAGAGGATAATTCTCATGGGACAAACTTCCCTGACTCGGCTGAGCCCATTTATGGAACTCAGTTCTTGCCGAGGAAGTTTAAGGTTGCAGTTACCGTGCCGACGGACAACTCAGTGGATCTTTTCACAAATGATGTGGGGATAGTGGTCCTGTCAGATGATAATGGAGAGCCTCAGGGTTTTAACATATATGTAAGAATGTCACATTTGATACTGATCTTTCCCTTGCATGTGTTTGGGAGACACTATTGTCAGATGTTAAGAACAAGTGTTGGGCGATCCTGACCTCACCAGAGGTCATTTATAGCAGAGTTAACCACAATATATTCCTAACCTAGGTCAGCCAGACCCATTGTTATGATGTGGGCCTCTACGAAAAAATTACACGGATCAGACGGAAGTGTTTGGACAATCGTAACCTCTTTAGAGCTCTTTTTCGGTTGAGTCTTTAGAGGTCTTTTGGGGTTGAGTTGGGTCTAACACACTTAGTCTTAACATAAGTCATGTATGCCCTTTTTCAGGTTGGTGGTGGAATGGGACGGACGCATAGGAATGAAGCCACGTTTCCTCGTCTTGCAGAGCCATTGGGCTATGTTTCAAAAGAGGACATATTGTATGCTGTCAAAGCCATTGTTGTTACCCAGAGAGAAAATGGTCGAAGAGATGACCGTAAGTACAGTAGGATGAAATATTTAATCAGCACATGGGGGATCGATAAATTTAGGACTGTTGTTGAACAGTATTATGGAAAGAACTTCGAACCTTGCCGTGATTTGCCCAAGTGGGAGTTCAAGAGTTACTTGGGGTGGCATGAACAGGTCAGCCACTTGGCTATTTTAATCTGTGAAACTTTTCCTGTTAATTACAAAAAACACTTTTGAAACATGTTTTCACACTTATCAGCCTAAAAGTTACCCCCTCCATACTAAGTATTGGTATTAGATATACTATCTCCGTCCCAATCACAAGTCATGTTTATTAACCAATGTATTGCGATTTTAATTTTGTTAAGGAATAATTTTCACATATAATGAATCTGGCTTTTTTTTTTTAAATTATTTTTAAACATATGTAACATGTGTGAGGGCCTTTTGGGGGGCCCTTTTTCCGAATTAAATGAAAATCTAGCTCTTCTTGACCAAACTGGACTATTTTATGAGATAAAGAAGAGAGTCTGAAACCAGGGACGGATCCAGGATTTTGGGTCAAGTGGGGCGAATTTTTTTCATTAGTGTAGAGAAGTGAGTTTTTTCAGTAGTGTAGTGGGGCAAAATTTTTCTCACTAGTGTAGCGGGACAAACTTTTTTTTGCTAGTGTAGGACTCTGCAACTATTTTTTATTCAAAAAACTTTCATTAATACATACTCAACGACATTTAAATCTATTGCATCCTAAGTTTAGAAAATGGAAAATAACTTTGATTTTATAATTGAAGTGCTCTAGAAAAAAGCTTTGATACATTAAAACGAAATAATTGAAAATTATTTGAAAATATAATAGGATATACTCCCTCCGTTCTTTAGTAACTGTCTCGTATTCCTTTATGAGACAATTTTAATTATTTGTCTCTCTTTCCTTTTCTTGTAAGTTTTTTCAATTAAAACACCTTTTTACCCCCACTTTTATTACACTCACTCCTTTCTCTTTCCTACTTTATCATTCATCTGCAGGGAAATGGTAGTTTGTTTTGTGGTGTTCATGTTGATAATGGCCGTGTCAAAGGGGAAATTAAGAAGACACTAAGGGAAGTTATTGAGAAGTATAACTTGGATGTGCGCATTACACCAAATCAGAACATTATCCTTTGTGATATACAGGAGGCTTGGAAAGACCCTATCTCTGCATCTCTTTCACAGGCTGGTCTGTTGGTAAGGCTATGTTGATAGTATGGATTGTGTCTGTGTACATTCTAATAAACTTGCCAATAAACTTGGTAGATTTATAATATTGAAGTAATACTAACAATTTACTGACATAATTGTCTTTTTTTGGGTCTTTGTGTATTGTGATTCATGGAAGTAACTGTGAAAGTATTATTGTATCTAGGAATATGCTTTAGGAATATGCTCTAGAATATGCTTTAGGAATATACTCTAGACATTATTATTGTATGGCATCTTATATAGGAATATTCCATCTTTGTAATATATATAGGGCCTTAAGCCTCTAATGAAAGACACATAAAATGTTTCCTCCAATCTTCAATATTATTCTAGTTTATATTTCAACATGGTATTGGAGCTTATGGTTCCATTTGATTCTAATTTCACAGCCCAGTTTCTTCCAGTTCAGAACATCGACAGTTTCGTTTCAGAACCTTAGCAGAACATCCGTAGTCTCACAACCTCAGCAGACCATCAGCACACTTTAGTTCATAACCTTAGTCCAACATCTGTCTCACTGCCATCACCCTCTGGTTTGCCTGCTGCCGGCGACCGGCGACTCGAACTCCGCACGTGTCTCACCCAAATCAGCTCGCGTGAGCTGCACGCGCCGCCGGAAGTTCGCGCCGTGTTTCTGGCAGGAGCTTCAATCGAACCCCATCGCCATCGACACAAAGTACCCTTCAGCTCTGTCTCTCTGGCTCGCTCGCTGAAGAACGAAGGAAATTAAGGGTTTCCTGATTGATTTCCCCTTTTGGTTTTCTCGGCTTGCATCCCGATCGTTCCAGGTATCTTTTGAATAGAATCTTGGAAGTCTCACTCGTTCGTTCTTCAGGGAAGGGTGTCTGTGGAGCGCCGTTTTCTAGCTAAGTCCAGAGACGAAGCTTTGGAGCTTTGACTGGAGTCCTTTATTTTACTGGAGTCCAAAGACCTAGTAGATAAGTTATTTTATTCTCCAAAATTTGAGCCCACACACGGGAAAGGCTGCTGTAAGTTTCCACTTATATCTCAGTTTTGAATTTATTTAAAAAAAACAAAAAAAAAACAAAAAAAAGTCTTGTACGGGACAATTTGACAGTGCAGTAATATGCCATTATTGCAAGAAGCCCAGACACTTTATCAAAGAATGTAGAAAATTGCGGTTCAAAAATCAAGGAAATTTGCTTGCTCATGTTGCTTCCGCTACTAGTTCATCTAATGGATCAATTGCTATTTCTTTCGACGAGTATGCCAAATTTATTAGCTACCAAGATTCTCTAAAGCATTCCTCTGTCCCTATCTCGGTAGTCACTAATTCAGGTATCTCAAACACATGTCTTCTTTCATCATCATCGAAATGGGTCATTGACTCAGGCGCCACAAATCATATGACCACAGATCATATGACTGGTAATCCTAGTCTATTCTCATCGTTTCATTCATATTTACCTACTTCTAGTGTCACTTTAGCTGATGGATCTACCTCACATGTTCTTGGATCCGGTACTGTTGTCCCAACTTCTACATTACCATTATCACCTGTTTTGAGTCTTCCTAATTTCGCATTTAATCTGCTTTCCATCAGTAAAATCACACGTACTCTTAATTGTTCTGTAACATTTTTTCCTGGATATTGTGTGTTTCAGGATCTGTTGACAAAACAGACTATTGGTAAAGGACATGAGTCGGCTGGTCTTTATATTTTGGATACATCAATCACAAAAGGTATATCTTGTCTTGGGGTTGGAAATTTATTAGAAGCTCATTACCGATTAGGATATCCATCTCTCCAACTAATGAAGCAAATGTACCCCCAGTTTAATAAGGTGTCATCTATACAATGTGAGTCATGTGAATTTGCAAAACATCATTGTACTAGTTCAAGTCCTCGACTTAATAAACGAGCAAACGCTCCGTTTGATCTGGTTCATACTGATGTTTGGGGGGCATGTCCTGTTGTGTCCAAATCTGGTTTCAAATATTTTGTTACATTTGTTTACGATTATTCTCGTATGATCTGGTTATACTTTATGAAACGTCGATCAGAGTTATTTACTCATTTTTCTGCATTTTGTGCTGAAATTAAAACTCAATTTAAATCTTCCTGTTCGTGTTCGTGTGTTGAGGGGAGACAATGCCCAAGAATATCTCTCGGCTTCATTTAAATCTTTTATGCTTCAAAATGGCATTATTCATCAAACTTCATGCGTAGACACACCTCCTCAAAATGGAGTCGCTGAAAGAAAGAATTGACATCTGTTAGAAACTGCAAGGGCTCTTCTATTCCAAATGAATGTGCCTAAACAGTTTTGGACGGATGCCGTGTCTACCGCATGTTTTTTGATAAACCGTATGCCGTCTTCTGTTTTAAATGGTAAAACTCCTTATCACTGCCTATTTCCAAATAAAGAACTTTTTCCTATCGCACCTAAAACATTTGGTTGCACTTGCTTTGTTAGACACGTTAATCATCATCTTACAAAGTTAGACCCCAAATCATTAAAATGTATTTTCTTGGGTTATTCTCGAGTTCAGAAGGGGTATAGATATTTTTGTCCAAGTACAGGTCGATATATTGTTTCCATTGATGCATCATTTCATGAAAATACACCTGTTTCATCATCCAAGACAGATATTCATGGGGACAATGATGAAATACTCATTTACTCTGTCACTATACCGGAATCTACACCTTCTGTAGTTATTCCACATGTTACTGTTCCCGACCCCAGACCGCCAGTACACTTGGTTTACACCCGTCGAAACAGAGCACCAGATCACCCTCCACCTGTGACCCGTGTGATTACTTATCCTGATATTGGTCCGTCCTTGAGCTCATGTCCTGAACCAGTACATGCATCTTTAGATCTTGTCTCTACATCAGATCTTGACCTTCCGATAGCACTACGTAAAGGTACACGGTCTTGTACTCACCCTATTTCTTCATATGTGTCGTATAGTCAGTTATCCCCTGCCTCATGTTCTTTTATTGCTTCCATCGATTCTATTTCTGTTCCTAAATCTGTTAAAGAAGCTTTGTCTCATCCTGAATGGCGTCATGTCATGGTAAAGGAAATGAATGCTTTGGATCTTAATGGTACTTGGGATTTGGTAGACTTGCCTACAGGGAAGAAGTCTATTGGATGTAAGTGGATCTTTGCTGTTAAGGTTAATCCAGACGGATCTATTGCTCGGTTGAAAGCCCGATTAGTTGCGGAGGGTTATGCTCAAACCTATGGTGTTGATTATTCTGACACTTTTTCTCCTGTTGCTAAATTAACATCTGTCAGGTTACTTATTTCACTCGCCGCAACTCATGATTGACACTTGCATCAGTTGGACATTAAAAATGCATTCTTGCATGGTGACCTTCAGGAAGAAGTTTACATCGAGCAACCTCCGGGGTTTGTTGCTCAGGGGAGTATGGTAAAGTTTTTCGACTTCGAAAATCTCTTTATGGTCTGAAACAGAGTCCTCGTGCATGGTTTGGGAAGTTCAGTCGGTCAATTGAACAATTTGGAATGATCAAAGGCAAATCAGATCACTCTAAAGACGAATAAAAACAGGTATCACATTGCTTGTGGTGTATGTTGATGATATTGTGATTACAGGCAGTGATAATGCAGGTATTTTGGCCCTTAAAAATTATCTTCATAGCCAGTTCCAAACAAAAGATCTAGGCTCATTGAAATACTTTTTGGGTATTGAGGTAACACGGAGTAAGAAAGGCATATTTCTATCTCAACGAAAATATGTTCTTGATTTGCTCGCTGAAACAGGGAAATTGGGATCAAAGCCGAGCAATACTCCCATGGTTCCCAATGTGCAACTCACTCAAGAAGGCATGTCATTTGAAGACCCAGAAAGATATAGACGATTGGTTGGAAAACTTAATTATCTCGCAGTCACTCGTCCAGATATTGCTTTCTCTGTGAGTGTAATGAGTCAATACATGTCATCTCCGACCATTGATCATTGGGCTGCTGTAGAACACATATTATGTTACTTAAAGGGAGCACCAGGACGAGGTATTGTTTATCAAAACCATGATCACATGAGAATAGAATGCTTTGTAGATGCTGATTGGGCCGGTTCTAAAGATGATCGAAAATCTACATCTGACTATTGTGTCTTTGTTGGTGGTAATCTTGTATCCTGGAAGAGTAAGAAACAGAATGTGGTTTCTCGTTCTAGTGCTGAATCAGAATATCGAGCTATGTCACAATCCGCATGTGAGATAATATGGATACACCATTTATTGAATGAAATTGGATTGAAGACACCAATGCCTGCTCAGTTGTGGTGCGATAACCAAGATGCTATACACATAGCAAACAACCCCGTATTTCATGAGAGAACAAAGCATATTGAGGTTGATTGCCATTTTATTCGAGAGAAGATACAAAAAGGATTAATCTCTACCAGATATGTGAAGGACTAGAGAACAACTGGGAGATTTATTCACTAAAGCTCTAAATGGGATTCAAGTTGATTACTTATGTAACAAGTTGAGCATGATAAATATCTATGCTCCAACTTGAGGGGGAGTGTGAAAGTATTATTGTATCTAGGAATATGCTTTAAGAATATGCTCTAGAATATGCTTTAGGAATATACTCTAGACATTATTATTGTATAGCATCTTATATAGGAATATTCCATCTTTGTAATATATATATAGGGCCTTAACCCTCTAATGAAAGACATAGAAAATCTTTCCTCCACTCTTCAATATTATTCTAGTTTATATTTCAACAGTAACAATATTCCCGTGTGTTCAAATGCTTGAAAGTTGTGTGTTAATGAATCTACTTCCTTTGTATTGAAATGTTTGCTAGACTTTCATTTTTTGTGGTGTATTTTATTTTTTGCTACACTTTCCCTTTTTGGTAAATTTTCTCTTTGAAAATAAGGTTTAAATGCACCAAACCCCCTCGTGAAATATAAATTCAGCGCATTAGCCCTATGTGATCTAAAAAATGCGTCAAAACCCCTTGTGTTTTAATTAATCATACACAAAGCCCCCTACAAGAACAAATTTTACAATTTTGAAATCACTTTTTTTAATAATATGGTTGAATATGCAAGTAACTTTGTCAAAATTTCGAAATTATACAAAAAAAACTAATCATTTTTCATTTTTTTGGAAATTAAATTTGTTCTTGGAGGGGGTTTGGCGCATGATTAATTATAACACATGGGGGTTTGACGCATTTTTTAAATCACATGGGGCTAATGCACCGAATTTATATTTCACGAGGGAGTTTGATGCATTAAACCCTTGAAAATACTCAATTACCCTTACTTTTTTTATCTTCTCTTTCATACTTTTCCACCCTCTCTCATACTTTCTATGCACTATTCATAACCCTTACTACTTTTTCCTTAAATATTGTGCCAAACCTACTATAGAAAACATATTTTAAAAAGGAGGGAATATTTAGCACCATAACTTGATTAACTTCAGGCTGGAATGCATAGTGGCTAGGTTAATGCAAGATATCCCTTCTATCACAACCAGGGGCGGAGCCAGGGCACTGGGCCAGACTGGGCCGGTTTAAAGAATATTATTGAAAAAAATTTACACGAAATTTTTTACACTAAAAATATTGGCATTTTTTAAATGGGGGGGGGGGGGGGGGCAGGGCCTAGCCCGGGCACCCCTAGCTCCGCCCCTGATCACAACCTTCTAATGGAGGGTAAATTATTGTTAAATCCATCATGTATGGTCAAACCAACAAGATTACCATGGAACATTATATAATTTGGCCCCTCATATATTCTTTATGGGTAGGAACCTAAGCACGTGGATCCTCTTAATTTAACAGCAATGGCATGCCCGGCTTTCCCTCTTTGCCCTCTTGCAATAGCTGAAGCAGAACGTGGAATTCCTGGCATTCTTAAGCGGGTTCGAGCTATGTTTGTGAAGGTATGTAGGTTCGACCCATAATAATTGTTACATAAAGTCAGACAAGGATCATCAGGTTGATCCATGCAGGGCTCCAACAATATAAATAATTTAATAGGCCGGGATGTGTAATAGTAATGTGGCTTAAGCCCGTCCTTTAAGTTGCGGTTAATGGGTGTGCCTTTCTACGCAAGATACTATACTTCATTTTTGTTTGGATGGAGAGCTATGTTATCTAATCACTGAATACTCGCTACTCAGGGTAGGACCTTGCCGATTAGTACATTGACTCGCACTATTCCATTTTTCCTAGTAACTCGCCAACTACTAGGCAATTTTCTCTATTCAGTGACAGGGTTGACTTGCCTAGTTACTTGGCAACCAGTAAATTGATTTTTTTGGGGAAAAGTTCCCGAAACAGGAATAAAAACGTTTGAGAATTCTAAAATAGGAGTGTCGTGTTTTTATCTAAATAAGAGTAATTATTGTCAAGTTTGGAAAATACTGCAATGTTTAAAGTCTAATATTGCTAGTAGTTACTCATATTTAGGGAATAAAAACATGATAGTCCTATTTTGGAATATACAAACGTTTTTAATCTACGTGCGAAGTCAAAACAAGAGCTTATTATGGGACAGAGGGAGTATTATTTTAAGGAATAATGTCATAAATAATACTATTTTTTGAATGGACAAAAATAAGATTTAATTTAGATTTGGATAAAAAAGAGACCTCATTAACATAGTGGCAGCGGCGGGTCACTGGCAGAGGCAGGGTAACTGTCACTAGCGCCTAGCGGTGGTTCACTGGCGGCGGGTCGGGTAACGTGACGGCGGGGTAACTATCACCGGTGGTGGCAGGGTCACTGGCTACGGCGGCGGGTCACGGGTGGGATGGGTCAAGGAAGGGACAGGTCTGACTGGCCACTGGACAGAGCAGGGTGTCACTGTTCCCTCATTTGGAGATAAACGCCATAATAGTAATTTTTATGGAAAAGTGACTTTATGTGGTTGATATTGAATTGATAAACTAAGAATAAGGTAAGAATGATTTAAAACCACTCAAACTTTACCGAATTGGTATAGGACAATCTTAGTGGGACGAATTTAAAAGGAAAGATGAGACAATTTTAACGGGACGGAGGGAATAATATTTAGGTCACAACCCCTTATTTTATTCACGTTGAAGAATTATAAGACTAATATGTTACTATAATCTTGGGGTATTTATGTTTTTAAATTTAATTAATACATGGCCAAATAATTCCGAGTAATCAGCTCTACTTGCTACTTGGCCGTTGAACGAGTTGCCCCTGAATAGCGATTTAACACTTAGGCGGAGAGTGTATATTCAAATCGTTGTAGAGCACCGTTACTAAGAATGGATATTGTGTGGCTTCAGGTTGGCCTCGACCATAATGAATCTGTTGTGGTAAGGGTAACTGGCTGCCCTAATGGTTGTGCTAGACCTTATATGGCTGAGCTTGGATTGGTCGGTGATGGTCCCAACAGTTATCAGGTACTTCCAACTCTAAATTTGTAGGAATACATTGCTTTATATTCGGTCTGTCTGGATTAATGTTGGTGAGCATCCCACATTAGTTGTGTGACTCTAGTATATAAGTTTGAGACAAAACTTGCCTCATGAGGGGTTTGTCAGATGAGTGGTTTATGGTGTACCCTCTCACATGATGTTTTAGTAATTTAGTAGGTGAGCATGTTATGGTGCCCGCTAAGGCCCATATTCTCATCCTTTCACTGCGTTTGAGTAGTATATAAATGTGTTGCAAAAACCACCTTTGGGGGGGGGGGGGGGTATTCCAAGTTAATAACTACTCTGTGTTCTTTATTCTTTGGGAAGGAACACTGACAGAGTTACAACTTCTCTTGGATGTATAGATATGGCTTGGTGGAACAACCAATCAAACATTATTAGCGAAACCTTTTAAGGATAAGGTTAAGGTTCAAGATCTTGAGAAAGTTTTGGAGCCGTTGTTCTATGATTGGAAACTGAATAGGCTATCAAGTGAAGGATTTGGTGATTTCACAAACCGCATGGTAAGGAAACAAAATAATTAATGCTTTAGAAATTGCCACTTGGTTTTTGTTTTTCTCAGACAATTTGAAATTATCATCAGTAGGAACAATATATCAATGTCTTCATCATCATAATCTTAAATCCAACTATGTTGAGGTTAGTTGCATGCAGTACATTGTATCAATTACAAGAACATCCAAGCCTTAGACCCAAAAGATTTTGGGGTCGGCTTAAATGAATCTGTACATGATATCAGAGCCAAAAGGAAAGATAAAAAAGATAACAAAAATTGCATTGTATCAATTAATTATGTAAAATTTTCAGAACCTATAATTCATGCAAAACAAAGTCTTTAGTTCTTGGGGTATGCAAACGGTTTAATTATGGACTGTCACTCTGTCAGTCATTATGAGTTTTTCCCACATCATGGAAAATAATATGAAACAGGCATGAGTTGAGATTATTTGTATGGCCATGCCTAGTTACAGTGCTGTAAATGCAATATGCATACCATGGAACTTCACCTACTCTTAACTCACAAAAACTGCCTTACTAGCTGCCTATCTGGTTGTCATCCACTTATGCTGGAAGCATTTTGTAACTAAGATTTTGGTAATCCCCACTTCTTTTTGTTATCATCCTTATGCTGTAGGCTCTCTACCAAGCCCTGACTTAATTGTCTACATTAAGCTAATAACTGAGTTTAGTTGGTAATACATTTAAAAACTGTAAAATAACTAAAACCAATAATAATACATACTGTAATAAATTTCTAATAATACCAACTATTTGAATATATAAAAAAGTGATACACGAGTCAGTTTTCCATGAGAAACCCGATCATTTTACTAATCAGAAAATGATATTAAAATATCGAATAAGTGACTTCATTTCGAAATAACCTTTATTTGATTGTTTGATATATGCTTTTAATGTGTCAAGTGAGTGGATTTGTAGTCGGAAAGTGGCATCATGTCATTTTTGTTATGTATTCAAATAGTTTGTATTATCAATAATATTCTTCAACGTACGTATTTTTATTTGCTTATGGGTGATAATTGATATTAATCTTATTCCATCTGTCCCATTTTACTTGTTTTACTTTCCTTTTTGGATTGTCCCAAAATAAGTGTTATATTTCCTTTTTGGAAAGGAATATGTGGTGTACAACATCACTTTATTATCTTGAAATCTTAACCATAACTTTTACTTTTCCAGCCACTTTATTAATATTTGTGTCAAACCAATGTAAGATACATAAAATGAGATGGAGGCAGTATCATTTAAACTTATTTGACCACTAAAAAGTAATTCTTCTAGTGCTGAAATAAGGACCAATCCAATGACTTTTCTAGTCCATCCTTTAATTAAAGTTATTATTTCATTATGTACTTTTTTGTTTTAATAAACTATACGAAGTACTTTTTTAGATAATGCCAACTAGTCAACACTTTGGGTCATCCTTTCCTCCACAATATCTGCTTATTAAAATTTGCATCTAACTTTTTCTTGTCAAGGTTGGAAAGAAAAAAATAAGCATTGTGGGAGACTTGTTTGAAAGAAAAGAGTCTAATGAGTCCGTGTGTGTATTATCCTTGTGAACCTCAAACATGTTGCTTATTCAACCTTCATCCATATATTTGGGTGGGTGTAGGCGCACATAATGTATTGTTGTTGAGTTACAAGCTCCCCACATTTAAATGTGGGAGCATGCATTTTTGCACAATGGATTAATGCAACTTTTGTTTCTCAGGGATTTGAAAAATTGAATGACCTGATTAACAAATCAGTAGACATCGCTGCGGCCTGAGTTTTCATCTAATGATATGCTATTAAGATAAGTTCTGACAACGAGGAGCGGCGATGAGATTGCCCCTCTTGCGACTTTGCGAGCAAAGTTTTTCCCTTTTTCCTTTTGAGGTAGCCAAATGATTGAGCCACACATAAAATAGTCTCATCAGACTATGCTGTCGCCTGTTAAGGCATGATCTGCAGTTCATTTGCATCTAAAGTTTCCTTGTTTTTTTTGCAACCACGATGATTAACACGGCTATGATCAGATATTTTATATGGTTCTGAAATCTGAAATAGTTGGTGTTTTTTGCAGTCATGTTCAAACATGATTATGGATAATTGGATAGGGGTGGACCCGCTCCCGGTCTCGGATCGGCTGGTCCTGGTCCATAAATGGTGAAGCCCGAAACCGATCCCGATTTTATGAGTCCGTGTGTGTATTATCCTTGTGAACCTCAAACGTGTTGCTTATTCAACTTTCATCCATATATTTGCGTGGGTGTAGGCGCACATAATGTATTGTTGTTGAGTTACAAGCTCCTCACATTTAAATGTGGGAGCGTGCATTTTTGCACAATGGATACTCGGCCGGTCCTGGCTACCCGGCTGATCCCAGGTGCGATCTTGGGTCGGTTCAGGACCTTCAGGTGGTTTTGATGTTTTCTTTAAATTTAGTCATATAAATCAGAAATGCTACACATTAAAAATGAAATGTATATTGTAGGCACACATAATGTATTGTTGTTGAGTTACAAGCTCCCCACATTTAAATGTGGGACTGTGGGAGCGTGCATTTTTGCACAATGGATACTCGGCCGGTCCCGGCTACCCGGCTGATCCCAGGTACGATCTCGGGTCGGTTCAGGACCTTCATGCGGTTTTGATTTTTTTTTTTTAAATTTAGTCATATAAATCAGAAATGCTACACATTAAAAATGAAATGTATATTGTTTGAAACACTAAATTGGCCTAGAGTAGTAGACATTTATAAATTACAATTGAGAATAGTTTAAACACATTTCCTAATCATCAGAACTCCCATCATCGTCTGTTATCGTTTCTCCATTAAGTGGTGGTCCGGTGCTATGTTAGTTTCATAAGTTCCTTGATGGGCCTTCACTCAACATACAATTTTTCACACACACGCGCGTACACACACATTAATGTGAGAAATGAGAACACTCAAAACATTGAGGCCATATCTCACCTGGAAGGAAGGAGGTGCCCCAAGGAAGATGTTCCCGGTTTAATTCCAAGCAATGATTTGGGATGAAATTTCATTGTTTTTTCATGAGAGTGAGATCGAAGCTCAATTTATATTTTGCCAAATAACTGTGTTGGTTCAAGGGGCCCTTAAGAATGTGGGTGTCATTCTTTTTTTTGAGAACACTCCAACACGATGCATGCTATGGTTCACAGAAATGCATATTTATATTTAAATTAATGCTAAATTCAAATGTGCACAATTACATTTAAACTTTTGCACATTTTTTTGAAAGGAAACTGTCTTTATTAAAAAATGGACTTTCTGTGAGCAGAAGTGTACAGTGGATGACAAAAATGATCAAAATGCAAAAGTGCACTTTAGATAAATATTAGATAACTTTTTTGAAAATAATGTGATAAATGTAGATGACTATGGAGTAAAAGTGCATTGGACTAACAGAAAAGTGCATCACGTTTCGAAAATAAAATACAAAGTAACATATATAAAAATCATTTTGTGATATTTAAGAGGGTGAATGTGCACTCTTATACACACACACACACACACACACACACACACACACACACACACATATATATATATATATATATATAAACACAAATGATCAGGTCCGAACGTTCGGACCTGATCCTCCGTCCGAACACCGCCGTTCGCGGCGGTTCTCGGTCGATTTTTTTTTTTGAAAATTTTATGGTATGTTATTCATCAAGTCTAGTTTATCCACAAAAAATTTAAGCTCAAAATTTGATCGGGAAGGTCTTCAAATGATTTTTTGAAGTTGACTGCGCCAAATTATACATAGAAAATGCAGTCAACTGCATTTTTCTATGTATAATTTGGCGCAGTCAACTTCAAAAAATAATTTGAAGGCCTTCCTGATCGAAATTTGAGCTGAAATTTGGTATGGAGAAACTAGACTTGATGAATAATATACCATAAAAATGTCATCAAAAAATTCCACCGGGAACCGCCTCGAACGGCGTTGTTCGGACGGAGAATGTTCGGACCTGAACATTCATATATATTCATATATATATATATATATATATATATATGTATATGTATATGTATATCTATATGTATATATATATATATATGTATATATGTATATATATATATATACATATAGATATACATATATATATATGTGTATATATATATGTGTGTATATATATATATATATACATATATACATATATATATATATATATATACATATATATATATAGGGAAGAGATCAAATAAAAAGAGATCTCCCGTGCAAAGTGCGAACGATTGCACTTTTTCCTAATCGCGTTGCACTTTTGCGTGTTTCTGTTGCACTTTTTCGCGATGGCAAAAAACTTCATTTTAATTACGAAATTGCCACCGCGTTTTTGATCAAATTTAGTTCACTTTTGGCTCATTTTGAGCCATTAGATCTGAAAATGAATGCACGAGATTAATTCTCACTTTGCATGAGAAGACCTCTTTGTATTTGAACCCCTATATATATGTGAGGAGTGTTCCGGTCAGGCCTTTCTGACCGGAACCGCCATCCGGCCGACGGCTTTTGGGGCCCTTCCTGGTGGCTTTTTTTGATGAAATTTTTATGGCATGTTCTTCATCAAGTCTAGTTTATCCACACAAAAATTCAGCTACAAACTCACTCCGGAAGATCGTCAAATGATTTTCTGAAGTTAACTACGCAAAACAATACATATAAAACGTAGTTAACTTCCAAAAATCATTTGATGACCTTCCCGATTGAGTTTTTAGCTGAATTGTTTTGTGGATAGATTAGACTTGATGAAGAACATGCCATAAAAATGTCGTCAAAAAAAGCCACCGGCAAGGGCCCCAAAAGACGTCAGCCGGACAGCGGTTCTGGTCCGGACCTGAACATATCTATCTATCTATCTATATATATATATATATATATATATATATATATATATATATATATATATATATATATATATATATATATGAATGATGGTTCAAATAAAAAGTGGTCTTAACGCGCAAAGTGCAAAGTTCACACTTTTTCATGTTTCGGTTGCACTTTTTCTTGCTTTCGTTGCACTTTTTCGCGGTAGCTAAAAAAAATTGATTTATTTACAAAACTGTCACCGTCATTTTGGCCGAATTTGGCCAAAATCAAAATGGCCAAAAAGTGCAAACAAGAAAAAACGCAAGCGCAACATGAAAAAGTGAAAACTTTGCATTTGCACGGGAAGACCACTTTTCATTTGAACTCTTCCCTATACACACACAAGGAGCGGTTCCGGTAAGAAAGATCTCTTAGGAGAGAAATGATAATAAATGTGGACCATTGGATTGTATAAATCTGGACAACAAATAAGACACACAACACAATTTTATTAAATGACCAATAATAAAAGTCAAGGGCAGACACTATCCCAAGTTGGACTCTTATTGAAAAAATCGGTTTTTAGTCATAAACAAATATCTCTAAGTCTACAAATCGTGTCGGTCTAAAAATATTCAATTGATAAAGTAAGAATGAGTTAGAGCCACACAAATTTTACCAAATTTGGTATGAGACAATCTTAACGGGAGAGACCCGTAAGTTAAAATGGGAAAATCGGTAGTAATTGAGGTAGGGATGGACTCGGGTCCGGGCCGGGTCGGGCCTAGGCGGGCCGGCGGGTCAGAAATGGTGGACCCGGGACCGGCCCGGGTAACCACCGGGTCCGGTCCGAGCCGGACCCATTATATATATTTTTTGTTTTCCTCTTCCTAATTAACCCCCCTCCCACCCCCAACCCCCCAAACCAACCCAAATGGCCCAAAATACCCAGCCCAACCCGAAAATTTAAAAAAAATTGAAAAAAAAAAATGTTTTTGGCCCGAACCGGGCCCGGGCCCGGCCGGGTCGGGCCTTGTTTTGAGTGACCCGAGCCCGAACCGGAAAACCCACGGGCCGGGCCTACCCGGACCGGTCACTGACCGGGCCACCGGGTCGGGCCGGGCCGGAACAGTACCGGTCCCGGGCCGGTTCCGGGTCGGGCCACCCGGCCCGAGTCCATCCCTTTATTGAGGTAGAAGATGATAAAGCAAATGACAAGATGATGAATGTAGCGTACAAAAGAAGTTTGACAGCGTAGTAGTTATGAGTGATAAGACATGCAACACAGTTGTATTAAAGACAATGTAATCCTGAAAGGATTTGATTCATTTTTATTGCACAAATCAAAGACAGACAAGCTAGGAAGCAACAATATCTCACTTGCGGCAAATCCTGGCAGTGGGCATGGTGACACAAATGGGAGCGTACTTCTTCTTGGCTTCCGGCGTGCCCCGCTTCGGCTCCTCCGCCTCCGCAACCTTAGTCAGCGACCATGCCGCCGCCATGGCAGCCGCCCCCAAAACCAAATCCCTTCTCCCGCTGCTCTCTTGCGCGGTGGCCTTGACGGTAAAAACCCCTCGGCGGAGAGGGGAGGGTGACGCGGCTCCGAAATATGCAGGAGACGTCGCCATTGATAGATGGAATGGATATATAAAAGTATTTGGAAATCAAATAAATACGTACGTACCTAGTACTCCGCCAGATCGAGTGATGAATCGATTTTCATTGAAATGATCTTTTTATTATTCTCTTACCTTATCTGCAAGTAATACGTCCGCCAATAAAGTATTGCCAACTGTCTCGCCCTATCTTGTGTGAGCTACGTAGAAAGAAGCGGCGTGTGTGGTGTTGATGATGCCGCTGCCTCTCCCATTCCGTTACTCAGAAAAAAGACCAGGCCTCGGATCGGTCGGTTCTTATTAAAATTTGACAGAACCGTATAAAAATCGTAGGCGTTAAATTCGGTTCGGTTCTAGTTAAAAATTTAGTTGTTAAATTCGGTTCGGTTCTAGTTAAATTCGGTTCGGTTCTTACCTTTTTTCGGTTCCTTATAAAAATTTATTATCCTCCTAAAATGAACACATTTTACCTTCAGTTACATAAAAAAAATCAAATTTTAAAAGAGTTTTTTTCGGAATAATGCTAATTCAATAAATAAATCCTGAAATACTGCCCGTTTAATAATAATTCCCAAAAAATTGCTGGGTTTAACCACGGTTAAGCAAAACCGCCACTCCAAATGGCGGCTCTTGTATAGCTTCACAAGAATTATTCCTTTCCCCGTGAATACAAACTTTACTACGCTATACTACGTATAAGTGTTAAGTATTGAATTTATTTTGACGCACTATGACAAAGTGCTCGTCATGGAGTACCCAAGGATCGGACGTGTATCCTCAAAACTCGGTAGATAAACGGTGGAGAACCCAAGGACGATGGTACTATCCTAAACACTCATATGTTTAGATGGTGGAGAACCTAGGGACGATGGTACTGTCCTGAAAACTCAAATGTATAAATGGTAGAGACCCAAGGACGACGGTACGGTCCTCAAACCTCGGTATATAAATGTTGGAGACCCGGGGACGACAGTACTATCCTCAAAACTCATATGTATAAATGGTGGAGAACCCAAGACGATAGTACTGTCATCAAAACTCAGAATATGAATTGATTAGGACCAGGATGAGTCCTATACACTCATAGGTATATGAGTGGGTTGTGATTTAAGTCAATGATATTGACTACTACGGTTTTCTCAAATAAACAATGATCTACGGGTCGGGTATTTCCAAGTGTATATACACTGATATGTATTTCATAACTTGGGGGGAAAGGATTATACGTGTATGTATCACCCTATGTTTGGGTCTTATACTTGAAACGTTAGTTATGCTACATTTAGCTTGCTACTCGATCGGTACTTGTACTGACCCCTTCAGAGAGGCCCACCATTTTCAGGTTGAAGCTAGGGTTTGCTACCTGCACCTTCTTATGGGTGAAGTCAACTCAAGGAAGACGTGGTTCGTGCTTCCTTGTTTTCTTTCAAACTACCAAACACTTGCTCATGAATATTTAGTTACTATAAAGTATTTTGGGCCTGTGAGCCCATGTTTTGGCCGGTTGTGGCCTACGCTTTACCGTTGAATATTTCCGTTATTCATTAGTCTAAATGTGATGTTGTTATGTATGTTTACCACTGAGTATGGATGGATTATGTTCATGGACGTCTTGTGTGATTAAGTCACGTTGACTTGGAAGTGATGTCACTAAAATGTTTTTTAAGAGCTAGATAAATAAGCTAGACTCTGTATAAAAAGTCAAAGGGAAAATTTCCTAAGATATGACTAAACTCGATAAGTTTCCCAATCTATGACATAACTAGTTTTTGGACTTTTATATGACCGAAATTAAAAAAAAGGAAAATAACGTTTTTAATTAAAAGTTGAATGACGAAAATGCCCTTATTTTAAATATGTGCATTTTGCACTAATTTTGTCCAATTAAAATTACTGCATTTTAGATTGCCGTTACTGCATGACATTACTGCACGACATTACTGCACACCCGGTAATTATCAATGCACTTCCGCCAAAATTAATTCTCTTCTCATTCACTTTACTAAATTATCTATAGTTTTTTGTTTTTTTAGATTTAATAATTTTATTATTTTACATCTAATTAAGTATATTGCGTTTCACGGCGAAATTACTACTCTTTGTTACTGCACTACCGGTAATAATCACTACACAACAAACTTTCTCAATGCATTCAATCACTGCCATCTACAACATATATATATTTCCATATTCACTGTCATATTCAACAATATCTACGTTGATATTCACTGCCCATTTTCACCGCTAAAATTCAATGATGATATTTAATGCTCACAAACTCTAAATTTAACAAATTTTCTTCAAACCATCTTATCTAAGCAACTTTTGAAACAAAGTGGAATTGAAAACATGAAATATTGAATGAGACCTGCAAACAAGAAAAGTGATTGAGCCAATTCTATAATATGGAGTATATCCGTATGATATAAGGGTCATGTTTGGTGTACACAAGATGTACACAAATATTGTACATTGCTTGTGTACACAGACAATTGGGTATCAAATTTTGCCCTTATCTAAATGAATTACCTGTGTACACAGGCAACTAGGAGGTTTTGTGTACAGTTTGCATACAACTCATGTACACTAAGCATTTTCCATGATATAATTATCCAAAATTAGCATTTCTAACCCTATTACACCCTATTACGAAAAGTGGCTCCTAGCCTCCTAAGCTAGCTAGTATATGCTAGAGTGGCCACCGGAAGGGAAGGAGTCTAAATCGACCCCTCTTTGTTTTAAAATAAGCTTTAGCTTTTTTTCCCTTAAAGGTGGGATTCTAAATTGAAGACCGATAGATCTCGCGCTCTCAAGTGGGAAGGGGATGAGGATGGCGGACGTCGAAGACGTAGAGGAAGCTCTGGGACGATCTGCACGCCTCGTTGGCCCCGCCTTGTTTGCCAGATCTTGACGGCGGCTTTGCTCCCAGATCGGATATCTAGGCGGTGGTTGTACCGCGAGCCGCGGCTGGACGGCGGGCAGCAGATCGACTTCGAACGACGCCTTCGCACCCTGGTCGGACGGACACCTGCCCCAGGCCGGAGTTCTGGGTTGGTGACTGTGCTCTGGGTCGGAGTACTTGGAAGGAGGTGGCGCTAGACGGTGGCTAGATGGCGGTCGGCGGTCGGACGACGGGGCTGCTGCGCGGGTGGACGGTGGATGGTGGGAGGCTGCGGCTGGCTAGGGTTAAAGAAAATGGGCAGGAGGTTAGGGTTTTATAGATATAAATTAGAGGGTATATTTGTCCATAAAAATTAATTATTTTTTATTAATTCCGAATTTTAATTACACATTATGATTATTAATATTATTTTAGGAAAAAACTAGTTAAGTCATAGATTGGGAAACTGATTGAGTTTTAGTTATACCTAGGGTAATTATCTCTAACTTTGTTACTCATGAGTGTACCTTTAATATAGTAACATTTGGTCATGAAAATTGAGATCAATTTTCATTTTTGAATATGGGACATGTTTTTTTATTGCATAGTTTGGCATTTTAGATAAAACTACATGTTACTTAATAACACTTATTTTACTTAATAAGATCATATTACTCTCAATAACCGAAAGACTCAACATAATGAAAAATAAATTGATTGCTACCAATACCAATAGGCAACTTATTGTCGTCGCTATCACCTTCATTAAAATCAGAATGCCACTATAGATTTTAAACGATTTTCTTTAAATAAGAGATCGAAGGACAAAGTTGCAAAATTCTAAAATCAAGAAGGGAAAATATCTTAAAAATGACTACACCCATTTTTAAATAAATAAATTACAAAAACGTGTAGTTAGTTTTTAAAAGAATAGTAAGCCACGAATGAAATTTAATGGATAAAAGTAGGCATTGAGCATTTTTTTTGTTGAAAAGATTAATTTCATTTGGATATAACTGAGAGTCATAAAAAAAATCTCTTTACATTGAAAAATATAGACTGAAAACGTGTTTAGATAATTAGTAGAAAAATAAGATGCTACAAACACAATGTTATTAAACGGTATTTTACACCAACAGTCAATTACCATTGGTATATGAGACTTATACCTACAGTAGAATATGCATTACAAATCAAAGTTATAATCGACTAAATAAGTGATTTTTCGTTATTATAACTAAAAACCAAAATCATTTTGGGGCTGTTTATTAACCGACGTTTCAAGTCCAACACGCTGATATTATCAACGTTTACAGTGTAAAAAACATAGCGTTTTTGCTCAACCCGGTGATATCCAAACATAGCCAAATATTAGTGATATATAAAGTAAAAGATTAAGAACAATTTACGTTAATCGGAGAATAGTTGATGGGAATTGAACCTTTAAATGGGCCGGCCGGACGTACGGAGGGAGAATAGTGTAAAATTGAACAACATATCGATTTATCCATGACTTCATTTCAATTATATATATATATATATATATATATATATATATATATATATATATATATATATATATATATATGTGTTTCTCGATCATAATATGAGTAAATTTATAAATCCGCATAAGAATATATATATGATTGACAATAGACACACACTAACATAAATGGTCTATGAAATCAAAGCGTTGAGTATTCGATCTTAATTAGCTTACTCAATGGAATGCATTCCAAAAATTGAGATCGGAATGAATTAAAGCTTTGCTAAGCTAAGGGTGAATCTAAGCAATCACCTCGTCTACCTTGCAACTTCTCAACTTAATTGATGCTCTACTTCTGCTCACTCTAACCACGTTACAACATTCACTTCTGTCGTTCTGAACAAATTAATAAAACATTAGTACTAAATCTTCAAAATGAATCATGCCATGCACATCATACCACAATGTAAAAAATATAGAAACAGAAAATAGGCAATTATTATTAACAATTCTGCAATCAAACATCTGCAAATTAAATACACATCTTAATTAATTGACCTATATATATATTTCTAGAGCAATCAAGTCCACTTTACTTACTGGTGCCGACAACTTCTCATGAAAAAGTTGCCATCTTACTGGTACCAACTTGTAAAAAAGGATTCAATTGCTTTATTTAAATGGATCGAGAGACATATTTGCAAGGTCTTATTGCTCAATATATATATATATATATATATATATATATATATATATATATATATATATAGGATCAAGTAATTAACATAAGAAATTCGAGTAATTATGTTTCATACCCTAAATATGATTTATTTAGTTCTATTA